GATGAGCCGCATCCTAGTCAGAAACAACAACAAAAAAACCAAGCGGTTACTACCTTCACTGCGCATCACGTCTCCAAGGACCTTTCCTCTTTACCCAGAGAGACGCAAGATAAAGAGGGGAAAAAAAAATGTTTATTTCGAACATGTTGTGAGTGGAAAAAAACAAGGGGGTGGGGGTGGTGGGGGGGTCATGACAGTAACAGTTTTTGACAGGCACATTAGGCTGCAGAAAGAGCATCCAGCTCGGGGCTGAGGGCATATGGTGCTGCCTTCTGCTGGCGTAGCTCTCGACCAAGTTACAACACTCGCGCAGGGTCACGACTGTCTCAGGTTTGTTCCTTCTGTCTCACTCGTCTAAATAAAAACAGGAGGGGGAAAAAAAAATGGAAGTGGGGGGTTGGGTGGTGGTGGTGGCAGAGGACGTAGGGGTAAGCCGCGGTGTTGTACTGTAGCTGTGTCTTTCAGTAAAGGACAAAAGGAATGTTCCCAGTCAAGCCCTTTGAGTCAGGACATGGTTTGGTCAAAATGTTGAGGGGAGACATTTGACATTTCCAGAAATGCATCACTTTCAAATTGGGGTTGTTTCACGGCCACCCGCTCTCCACCGCAGTTTTTATTTCTGGCATGCAAAATATAAATTTGCATACAACATAATAGCAGTTGTCAAGTTAAAAGCGAGTACAGTGTGGTGATTTTTATCTTCTTTCGTCATCTGAACACCCAGCTCGCGCCCTCGGACGGCAATCCCTAATCCCACTCTAAACAATGGCCATGTTTTCACCACACCGGCTCTGCTGGGTTTTCTCTTTTTGTAATGTGGAGAGGATGGACTTGGATAATGTGTAGGATGACGCATGGCTTTGGTCTGAAGGCAGCAGATCGGTGGGAGGGTAATTACAGGCTACCGTGCGGCTCTCTGGATTTTCCCTGGATCACAGCTATAGGCCGTGAAGCTCAGCCTCCAACGCAACTCTGAGAATGAAATAAAGTGGCCACAACATATGGACCCAGCAAAACAATGGTTTATTTTTATGATAGTTGATGAGTGGTTTTTAATTTAGATTGTCACTTCTGGCGAGCAGCAGGGCAGATGGTGCAGACTTGAGTGCCCATCAGAGCCTAAATACCTCCAGGCAGCTGTTGGTCATAAACTTTTTTTTTTTTTCCCCCCCCTTGCATTTTTTTTTTTTTTTTTTTGCTCTGCATTTTCTCTCTTTAACACGGCTTGGGTCAAGAGGAGTCAAACCTGTTACAACACCTGTTTCTGCATATGCAAATCTGTTGTTTTGTCATTTCATTAGGCAAGGCAAAAAGACAAAGGTCCCTTGTGGTTGCAAATGCGACTGGCACTGGGCCCACTTGGCATGCCACGCAGCAGAAAGACGCTTGAGGCGAAGTGAGGGGAGGGACGAGAAGTTGGGTTTCCGTAGCAAAAAGCGACTCAACCATCGGGCGCCTTCACATCACGGCTCAATTTGGCCGAGTTCCTAAAAATCAGAGTCAAAGTTGTATTGGAGTGGAGGAGAGGGGGGGCGACTCCCTCTCCCATTATCTCCCCTGTAAAGAGGATCTGGAAGCGAGTGACGAAGGACATGCACGGAAGCCAAAAAAACTGGCACACGCGTGTCTGGCACGCGCCACACGCCTTCCTCCACACCCCCTCGGTGTCCTCCTCCCTCCCTCCCCCCCCACCCCCCCTCCTCTTCCTCCTCCCATCCTCATCCCTTCATCATCTGGCGCTCTCCCGCGGTGCTCGCCTCTTAACCACATGTGCCAGTGCCGGGCCTGCTCTTGCTCCGGGGCTAATTGTTCACTGGTAAACTGCATGCTTGTTGGTGGGGGTCTCCCCTTCATCCAGACTCAGGGCTACAAAGCAGGGTGGTGGCGGCGATGATGGTGGTGGGTGGCGGGGAAGAGGAGAGGAGAGGGGGGGGAGACAGATCATGATCTCTCCATGCAGTTTATTTTTCCCGTATAAGTCTGAAGATTGCCGGTTGTAATCCGGCCTGTGTGCTGAATGCAACAAATACACCATGAAATTAAAGGTTATTGCAGGAGCGTAATGCAAAAGCTCTGTTTGAGATTACTAAAGCTGTTTGCAGACCTGGCGAGAATGAGAAGGGAGGCGGAATATGTTTTTCTTTCTTGTGTCTGACAGCCCAAGAATCTCCCTCTCCGTCAGCGGATTGATCCGTCATTTTTAACAGATGCTTTATAATTCTCTTCGATTCCCTGACATCGCAGTTGCATAAAAAGCCTTAAAGACGTTGCATTTAGACTGACTTTGAGGATGTTTACTTACAATTTGAATTCCAGGTGGAGTTTTTTCCTCCTCTCTGGTCGTCCAATTTAACTAATCTGTGGCTGAATCACATCTAATCCATTGTAACTTGGTCTAATCTAACACCACTGAAGGTTTTTTTCACGAGTTCCTTCCTCATCCTGGACTTAAGCGTTAGATGGAGGGATGGAAAGACCTAGGACTAGTCCCTGTGCTGAGTTAATCTCATCTGATAACTGAGGCCTTCCTCCTCCTCTTCCTCCTCCTCCTCCTGTTTTTTTTTTTTTCTTTTCTTCCCTTTTTTTTGTCCTCCTCCTCCTCCTCCCTTCTCTGCCATGGCTTGGTGGGCTTGATTTGTAGTTCTGCTCCTCTCTCACCACACAGAAGGCATTAAAGCCAGGCCCCACAAGCCCCCTCTGATATGGGAGAGTTCATTAGAGATGTGCCTTTGATGGGCAGCCTTTTCATGTGACTACCGGTTTTTCAAATACCTTGATGTAGAAGCTTAAGAAGGCATTGTGCAGTAAGCCCTCCTTTTGATGCGACTTATTTAGATCTGCATAGTAAATCAGGGGGGAGTAAATAACCAGCCAGCAGATGGAAGCAAGTAGATAAGGCGCCAGCGAACAATCGCATTTGTATTTTGTTATGATGTTGACAGCAGCTAAAATTCACTAATCTAGAGCCACTGATCTGCATTTCAAAGAAATCTCATTTAGCAGCGGGGAGGATAAAGTTCCTCTCATTGTGTCTATTTTATTGCATTCTTCGCTAATTTATCTGCCCACAGATTTAACGTGCAGGGCTTGGTGGTAGGAGCCGGCGTCCGTGCGTTGCATAGGGGGTCTTAAATACTGTGAAAGCGGTTACGTCTAGACTGTGAGCTGAGGGTAATTACACGTCTGACCATGAATAGAATGAGTTTGAAGACTCATCTTTCTTCGGGCAGGCCTGAATTGCTCGACTAACACTGATAAGGAGCATTTGGTCCCCACAGAAATATTGCCAGTGACTTTCCATAACGCCCCCCCCCCCCCCCCCCCCCCCCCCCCCCCCCCACCCCCTCACCCCCCTTTTCTAACACCAAGGATGGTATTTACTTTTAAGATAAAGTTATTGTGTACAGTAATCTGACTTGTTAGCATAATGTCCTCTTTCATCGCAGGACCCTCCTTTTTCTGCACTGTGGAGGTATTTGTGGTCCGGGTCTTAAATAGTTTATCTTGACTTAGTGAGCGAGCGCTTTATGTAAATATCAGCCTATAGCATTATTAGGCCTTCATGAATACTTGAATGCATTTGCCATATTTATAAGTTGATAGAATTTACCAATGGTTTTATATTTGGCATAAAGACATGTGTGGTATGTGTAAATCCCCACGAATTGGAGGTCATACAGACTAATAGCATTCCAAATGCTTTTCCAGTGAATAAAATATGACATCTGCACAGCCCAGAGGTGTTGTGATGTTGAAGTCTACCCAGGAGCACATAATTTAAGAAAAGAGGCATTAACTTGAAATTATATCTAAATTATACTTAAAACTATTCTCTGAAATGTAGGAAGATTTAGTCATAACATGCAGAGAGGCTCTTTCTCAAAGACTTACTATCAAGATATACACAATAACATACTATTTTGTAATGTGATCAAATCAGTACCATGATTCTGAAACCCATTCAAGTCTGCTCTCCCAAAATCCAGTCCAGTGTTTGGTGCCCGCCCCCACTTCAAACCCTCTAACCCCATCCTGGGTAAATGTTGCACAGCAATCTGTGCAGCATTTCCCACAAACTCAAAACAGTGAAAAATTATAGCAGTTGGCATGTTTTGTTTTCAGCTGTGCTCTTTGAGCTGAGGGCTTTTTGTACAGTTCAGAGAGCACATTCCTTAGGATTCAGCAGTCGCTGGTTGCCTGTAGGGGTCATTGGAATTCTGGGAGAATAAAGGGGAGAAAAAAAAAACATCTCAGAGTGGAAGATCCAGGCCATTTTGTGCCCCTCGTGCCCCCGGTAGCAGAAATTGGCCTCCACCGTGCTCCTGGGGACTTTCTTTTTTTTTTTTTTAAGCTAATGCTCTAAATGTGATGCATGTGCAGTAAAAATGTCCAGAGCAATCAGCAGCTGCACTTGTGGTATTGTACACTCTTGCTGCGTGTGTGTGATTAACACAAAAAATCATCAATACTAATGGTCTCTAAATTATATGGATACCGGAGCATGTGTACTTAGATGCAGACAGCTGAATGGAGGTACATGAGCAATCAATCGTGTCAGGTTAACAGTGTGATTTACTTGGCGTTGAGAGCTTGAGCCTTGCAGGCACGGCACCTTTTAACTTTTAGAGAGACTGTGTGTGTGTGTGTGTGTGTGTGTGTGTGTGTGTGTGTGTGCATACATACTTAAGGGGAGGGTGGGTTGTGTGTTGGGTGTTGTGCTAATATTGTACTGTACATTGCCTGTTGGTGCATGCACACAAACACACACACATACATACACACACACATGTGCTCTCGGGCTTCCCAGCAAAATCCAGGTGCACTTTGTTGTTACAAAGTTTATTGCTTTCACCTACAAACCATACAGAAAATAGTTATGCAATACACCATCTAGCCCACACTTGTTTGATGAATGTGCCTAGGCAAAAAAAAAAAAAAAACGATCAGCGTGTCTTGAAGTAGATTTGGACTAATGTAGTACTTTTCTTGTCTCCTTTCTCAGAGAGCTGACATCGCTGGACTCCTTCCCCTCTTGTGACGGACAACAACAGCAAGTTCTTCCCCTTAGGGTGAGTATTTGAACACGGTCTCTTCATGTCCTTCTGTCAAAGAATCCTTAACCTTGTGAAAGATTAGAGCAGCATTAGCAACCAGCTTTAAAATTCACAGTGTGCTCCCTGCATTTTTCAAAGTAAAAGTCTTTCAGTGACACAAAAATAGCAGTTTATTAAATCATTGACTGTATCTCTGGGTGGTGGCGTTACAGTATTGTTAGGTCTACTTGTGTTTGGGCAGCTATAGCGGCTGGGGGGAGGTCAAGGGGGCCCCGTTCCTGCTCACATGTAACAAATCTTCATCTTGTCCACCTTGATAGAATTCCCCCTCCACTGGGCAACCTTTCAGTTGTGCCTGTTTGGTTTTCACACCCCAAGGATTTTCAATCTACTCTAACTTAGAAGTTATGATATGCACTATGGCTGACAAATGTGGGCAAGCTCGGATTTCAGTTTTTTTTTTTTTTTTTTATTCATTTTGTTGATGTCTTGATTGAGATTTGTAGCAGAAGTGAACGGGATAAAGTGAACAGGGGTTATATTAGCCTTAACCTAATCTGGCCGCACCTGGTATGTATTGCTCCAGACGGGCGATACAGACAGAGCGAAAGGCAAAGGGAGTTTTTTATTCAGTGTACCACTCATATTTTAGGTCACACATCTACTTTCTCTTTTTTTTTTTTTTTCCCTTTTCAGGATGAAATATGCACACTCTGCGCCCGTAGAAAAAAGCAGACGACACACACTGTAAAGTGCAAAGTGGTAAGTGAAAGCAGTTTTCATTGTCCTTGCATGCCTGGTGTTGTGTTTTTCTTCCCAGATTAATGTGTCCCATGTAAAGAGCCACATCAGTCATAACTGTTGATGGGATTTGGCTTCAGGGAGACACGGTCCTGAGTGCTGAAATGACAAAACAGCAGAGTGAGATATGAGAAAAATATACCTATCAGTACGTAATTTTGTCATGGACATTGATTATACGGTCTGGAAGGTATTATTGTGACCCTATTAATAAAGCAGAAGTGGTATAAAAATGGTTGCACATAAAAATTTGACACGAGAGAAAAACGGTTTCAAATTTAAAGCATTAAAAGCTGTGTTAGGGATTTAGGTTCTTACATAATTTATAGCCATTACAATTAATTAAATGCCATCATTTAAATAGTTGTTGGGATGTAGGAGATTCATGAGCATCTTTTTTTTTTTTATGCACAGTGTTGGTTTTTGCGAAATATTCAATAATTAGCTCTTAAAAACATGAGATTAAGAGCGAGTATCAAATATCGATTCATCGTATAAATTCAACCACTTGATCGATCCTGCAGAAAATGCACATGATCAAAAATAGCTCCTTTTCCCCAAGCTAATGATAATAAGATGGTGTTTGTCATCAGGTCAGTCCACATATGAGGGTCACGCAATATGAGTCACCAATTATTCCTCTCAGCATGACTAATGGTGGTCATTTTATTGACTAGATCTCTCATATACACTCATGCATCCACGCCACATGAGTGCACGCACATATAGACACACGTTTCCAAGCCCTTTTCTGGTTGTGATGGTGAGAAGAAACAGAGTAAACATGGTGAAACTGGTGTGTGAGTGTTTGAAATGAAGATTTGCTGCAGTTCCATGCACTGTTCAGTCATTACAAAAATAAAAATGTATTTTTAATTGATAAAAATAATGAGTGACTAATGTCTTCCTAGGTAGGATGGAAAAGTGACTTTGTTCAAAAAGGTGATTCTAGGTTTGAAGCCAGCAGCTGCAGTCTGTTTGCTTTAAATTCATATATTCTACCCCCAACCTAAAGGGGAGAATCTATTTATCTTAAGACACCATCACCGTTGAGGTAAAAATATGATTAAAGCATGTGGGCGGAAGCAGAGATGCTGAGCAGCTTGGATGTAGAACCAGGTCCACCTCCCCAACAGTCCACTTTCCAGAGTGAAGCAGAGCCCAGATTCCCTTTTTCCACCTAAAAGAGATTTAAATATTAGTTCTTAATTTGTCAAGTATTCAGTTAAATCTTCAAAGATGAACTCTTACTGCATATCTGCTGGCCCTAAAAAAGTCCTTCTAATCATTGCAAAAAAAAAAAAGTGTAATTGCCCCAACACTGCAAGCCGCACTTCCAGTGTAGACATATATAAAAAAAATCTACAGCAATTAAGCATATCTTTGGCTGCTTTAAAGAAGCTGCAGTTCGGACTGAACAGCCCTCTGCTCGCATTTCCAGTCTGAAATTGATTTCTTGTCATAGATCAGAGACCTCTTGTCATTCCATTTTCAATCCTCAAATGGTTTCTCTGAGCCTGCTAACTGTAGTCCCTGCGAGTGGGCAAACAGGGGGAACCTCCACGGGTCTTTACCCTGGGCACTCAGAGCAGTCGAGGGGGTAGAAGCAGAAATCAAAGGGACTTGGATCATTCCCCATTGGCAGCCTCCATTGTCTAGCTGATTTGGGATTGGTGGGGAAGGTGAAAACTGCAGGGTGGGGTGTGGGGGTGGATGGAGATCAGGCAAAGCAACCCTTTTTTTTTTTTCTTTTTTTTTTCCTAATCTTTATCCACCATTAACCCCAGTGCCCCAGTGTGTGGCTGAGATCAGGGCCATTGGTCAATCCCCCATTCACCGCCACCCAGAATATTTTAAAGTTAAGCCCCATCGCTTAACAAAAAAAGTCTTACTCATCAAAGGTTTACTTTCCCTTCTCTCCCTCTTCTTCCTTCTTTTTTGCTCTCAGTCCCAACGATCTGCTGCCGTTCTTCATGCACCCTTCTCTCTATGGTCCACTGTTTTGTCTTCACACTTTGGCAAATGGGGAGGGGGAGGGAGACGAGTTAAAGTTTTGGAAGTTGCCCAACTTTCTATATTTCGACATAATGAAGTTTGGTTAGGAGGCTGATAGTGTCGTGCTGTGAGCAAATCTGAGCAAAAGAAGAGGGACCAGTGACATCCTCTCCTTTGCTTATCTCCCTGATTGAGCTTTCCTGTTTTTAAATGTGCTCAAGAATTATTTCATTTGATATTTATACTTTTCTTTCTTTGGCGCTTGCAGGTGAGAATGTCCTATATAAAACCCAGTTTGGAAATAAAACCATAACAAGACTGAATTCAGTCCAGATCTCTGACCTAATATAAACATTTCCCCATATTTCAAGCTTTTTTTTTAAGCAGCTGTTTATCTTGCTCACATCTAATGTGAAAGAGAAATGATTGAGGCTCAGAAAAACAAGAGATGTGGATGGTGAAGAGTGAAGAAAAGAAATTGCATGGAGAGTGTTTGTCCGGAGTGCACAGTTGCCATGAGAATGAAGTGAGAGAGAGAAGGGCGGCTCAGAATGAGTATTGCCATCATTACTTAAGACGAAGATAAAGAAGCTCAATGAGTCTATTGATCCTCATGGCTGCCGATGGTATTTCTGTCTCTTTCTTTTTCACACTATCATTTATCCAGTTGTCTTTAAAGTTCAAAATCTTCGTGCTGTTCCGCAGAGGAATGCGTAATTTTTTTTGCAATACGGAAACAAAAGGTTAATTTGCCCTCAGCAAAGGTGGCCTCAGCATACTTTGGGGCCCCTTCAATAGTCCTATGTACGTGCGCCTCATATTAGAGATGACTGATACTCTGGAAATGAGTGATTGCAAATAGTGCATGCACTCGCTTAATTTGTAAAAAACGAGCGAGGATCTAGTGTTTCCCGTGTTATTCTTTCCCTGCAATTTAATTGGAGAAATCTTGGGTGCGGAAGCTGGGCTCCGTGGCATCTCTCCAAGAGCCTGAGATTATTGTGAAACCCAACCTGAGGCAGGCATGACATCAGAGAGGCCTGACATTAGTTTGAACTCCTTATTTCAGGTGGGAAGAATTATGAGTGGCTTCACTCGCAGGTGATCGTGTCCAGCGAGTCGGTCGCACACAGTCGCGCATTCTTCTCCCAAGGTCTAAATGCTGATTGTCTTGACAGATTGAACTCGTGTGTTATCACCAAACTGTCACGCAGCCTCATTTTTCCGCCTGCACGCATGGTCCAAAGTTTATGTTAGCCCTTCACAGTACAGTGTTTTATAGGGATATCGTCATCGTGACATAAACTAAATGTACAGTATTTTAACCTACTGATGAGCTCTGTTTATCTCAGCGTCTGCACACTGTGTTACAGTGTGCGGCTTTAGTTGCCAAGACGTTGACGCTGAATTATTCGTATTTCAGACATTTCTAAAACGCAAACATTGTGTCAATATTGTCACACGCTGCGTGGTATCTAGCAAACACACCTATGTTTTAGTACTATATCGACCTCAGAGGACATTGTGAGAAATGGATTTTAGCATCCTTTGGTAAAGTAACCCTCTGAACCTCAAGCAGTTTTTGGACATTTTTTGCTCCTGTCACACTTTTACTCACTCATTTTCTCATGACTTAGCTCATTTTGCTGTGGAATACAAAGTCCTGCACTTGTATGGAGACAGAGACGACTCAAAACTGTCTTATGTGCAATATGAACCAGTTATAATGCCGTAAATCATAACATAGAAAAAGCAAAAGTTTAATTTCTTGAATTATTTATTTTACAAAAACAAAAAAATAGAATCAACATGTACAACATTTTGCCAAGTGGCCACAGGTTTTACCGATGCTGGAACAATATGTGGCACTACAAACTTGTGCGACTATTTGCCAACTAATATTTTTGTTGTAGTATTTATGATCGTCTTCCGTCTCCTCCGTGTCAACACAGCCTGCAGTTCAGCCGAGAAGTGCCTACATTTTTGTTGTTTGTTGCAGCAGGGTTACAGTTAAAATTGTTTTTTTTTGTACAGAATCTGATGCAGCAAAAGTTGCAATTTTAGCACATCTTTAAACAAGACCTGTAGAATAAAGGGATCTTGATGAAGTATCACTTTATGTTTCCTGAAAGAACGGCACATCACAGAAAGCTGAGAACCTGGCAGTTCTGTTTTTACAATTCATGGCATCAGTTTGGTTATATGTATTTATAGAACAACAACAACATACCTTTCAAACGTGCCAGCAGGTTTTCAGTGGGTTAACTAATTAGAATTAGAGAAGACTTGCATGAACTATATTGTTTGTTCTGTTCCATGTTCTGCAAATAATGAGAATTTGTTAATTGCAAACTGCAACAGCAATCAAATCGCTTCACAACAGTTTATATTTCTCTACACACTAACTTTTAATTACATAAGTGTGTCAAAATTACACCACTTAAACTGTTGCTGTAATAAAAATGACACACTTTTATTGGCTTTGAATTAACATTGCTAAGATTCCTCTGCGAGATAAGGCCTTCTTCCGCTGAAGCACACTTTTTTTTTTTTGGTCTCTCTCTCGCTCTCTCTTGAAGTAAAAGTTTCAAATCAAACCACACGGTCACAGCCACTGAAAAAGCTTTTACTCCAGAGGCAACAAGCCAAGTCCTTTGTTCATAATGATCATTTGATCGCGGCTTGAAAAGGGATACAGGCGGCAGCAAAATCCTACAAGAGCTTGGAATCTGACTTCCTCACCACAAACCGCAAGCCTAGACAGTGCAGCCGTTACTACCTGGTTGGAGGCGAAATGGGCAGAAAGTATTCATGTGTGTGGAGAAGCGCGCACACACACACTCGCACAGCATGCTCGATTTGGGTCATGGAGCTGACAGACAGTGGAATGTGAATGTGTGTATGTTGACAAACTCCACTGCACTCTGAATGGGGTTTGTGATTACACCTCATCATGCGTGTTGCAT